TTTCAAAGCAGACATTTTTAGCTTTTTGTGTTTTTTCTTTACATTCTTTTAATTAGAACGTTTTTGCAATGCTATTTGAACTACCAGCCTCTCACTTCGATTACTATTCCATGACAGTCAGCTGGTCACATGTATCATTTAAAAAAATAAGGCACTCATTAAAAACAAAACACTAGTTAAAGGAACAAAGAAGAGTTAAGATCACTGTTTTAATTATTAAGTGCAACCGTGTAATCATGTTTTGCAGAGAGGCGATATTGAGGCGAGATGGATATTTCTGAGAAAACTCATGGAGTGATTATGGGATAAAACGCTTAGTTACAGCACAAGTTGAAATTGTTAAAAAAAAAAAAGAAAAAAGGCTGTCAGTCTAACAGGTTTATCGTTACCAACTGATATTTATCCAAAGTTTCATCCAAAAGTCACAGTGAAACAAAGCCTTCCAGCAAACACAAGAACTCTGATGGTGCAGTAAGCCAAGCCACAGTCTGCATCCAGGCCTCTGGGACAGCCATCTACCCAGCTGGCCACATCTGGGTAAACTCAGGAGAGGACTGGACCAAGCTTTGTCTCCACAAACATTCTTCTGTTTCCCTAAACAGTTCCCAGCACATACTGAATGTCAACATACTAGAGTCAATCATTTCTCAAAATACAGAAAACCCTCCAGTTTATGAGACTATGCTCCATTTAGTTTAGACTGGGTGTTTTTTCTGATGGCACTCACCACACCTGTGACCGGCTGCCTGCATCCATCTAGAGTAATTGAACTTTCCTGCAACCTGATACAGTTTCACAACAGCAGGCTTTGAGGCACATAAGAAATCAAACACCGATAAGAATAACAGATTTTGTGCTGCACATTCAATCATTACAATAAATCAAATAACTTTACATTACTAAAACTTACTAAATTGAATTTACATGATCTGATGTAAAATATTCCTCATATGCATCTCTTAAAAAAAACACAATCAGGAATCTCATTTAGCAATAATTGCGCCCTCCTGGCCAACAAACAAACAAAGGAGAAACTTAAGAGTGTAGAATGCAGCAATCGTACATTCATTGTCATCACAGTTGGACAAAGTGAAAGGAACTGGGGAAAGCATTTGTCAGCCAAACTGTAATGACAATAGACTACATTGTCATGAGAGACTGAAAGGGTCTGTGCTATGTCAATGTATCCCAGACTAATCTGTAGCTCATGGGGAATGACCTTTGTGGCTTTTAATCTTATGAAAAAGATAGATGTACTATTCCTCAGGGCTCAAAGTAAAACGGCAAATTAATTCAACGATGCTCAGGCATCTCAATTTCTTTCCTAGCCTTTTGCTCTCACACAAAATACTCCCTGTGAACGTATTGCAGCTTTGTGAATAATGTCTCGGTTTCTAGTGAGAAACTGAAGCAGTATTTATAGACGGGCTATATTTATACATCTTCCCACCTCGCCTCTGTCTCTTTCCTCTGGTAATAAGTGATTAAAATGACAGCAGCGCGAAGAATGGTGCTGTCAGCGTGCAATGGAGGCAGCACCTGAAACCAGCCCATAAATGTTGCTGGCTGGCAGGTTGACACATTCCCCTGATGTCTCAGTAATGGTCATTATTTCACCGGTTGGGTCGGTAAGGGAGAAGCACCTGCGTGAATACATAACAGAAGGCTGACAAGTATCTTCAATGTCAGAATGTCAGACTGTATTTTCCCTTATCACAGACAAGGAAAACTAATAATGTCAACACTAATGTGTACGACAAGTATATTACTGATAGAGATCTGCGAAGGGTTCTACAGAAATCAACAAACACACAGGTTTATGTGGAATTCTGGAAATATGACATGTCCAACAAAGCCCTGGACATTACTCCGAAAGAAACTAAGGTGCCCACACACACTCACACAGACTCACGTGACAATAGGCTAGGCTGACTGCCTTTGCGCTGTTGTTAAGATTGATAAGTGTTTGAAACTGGGCTAGTGTTTATGGACAATGCATTCGCAGTAAAAATACTGAAGGACTACTTGCTGTAGACTAGGAAAGTCAGCATAACAAGATGGTTGAAAAAGCAGTGACTGAGAAACCCTGAAGCAAGGCACTAACCACCCCTTATTAATTAAATCAGAATGTTAGAAGAGGCTTGTTTTGTATTATTTTTAACCAAATAAGGCTCAAGTCAGGAGCCTGAAAATTGTGACATGTTTAAGAGCCAAAAGTCAAATAAGGTTTGCAAACGAGAGAAAGCAAACTGAGCTACAGTTGCCGAAAAGTTTCTTATCTTGATCAGTGGTAAACGAAGATCACAGAAAAACAATATTGTAAAATTCTTGAGCAATATCTACAAGACTTCTTTTTCTACTACGTAGACAAATGGTCTCATGTGGTAAACTGAAATCCTAGTCTATTGTAAGGGGCCAATAAACTGTGATGTAATGGGCTATTGTGAAGGGAAGAGAGGTGTGAACATAATCTAAGCACAGGGTAGTCCAATTGTAATGGTCACTAGGTACAAGATCTCCTATTAGTTTGTTTTACATTTATACTGAATAAATTTACATGTGTGTGCACACGCACACGCACACGCATACGCACACGCACACACGCACACACACACACTTTGACTGACCCTGGACCAAAACAAGAACAGTTCACTTTTACAAAAATAGGTCAGACCTGGTGAGAACTTGGACGGCCACAATGCGAGCCAAACCTACGAGCAGGTGCACAGTCAACAGGGGTGTAGCCCAGTTCCTACGCAGGGTATGATAAGCAGTCCTCGTCTCAGTGTGAAAGATGAATATGGCAGACTCTATTTTAGGAAAATAAGACTGGTGAAAGGTCAGCGCACCTGCTGCTCAAACCCTAAGCCTCCTCCTGTTTCTCACAGGCGTTTTTTTTTTTCCCCCCCTTTCTCTGACAAACTGACACCTTGCTCTGTAACTCACCCTTTCCAACAGGACAGCTAAGCACACACAGTGTACTGGTGCCGTGTCCCATCTGTGACAGATGTCAGGAAACGGATAACCACGGCATTATTCTATGTTTTTATTATCAACACATATCCCACCAACGAGTGATGTGTGATGCAGTATATGCTTCCCTGCCATAGAAATCTATTTTTGTGCAAAAAATAAAATAAAATTTAAAAACCCATTAAGTAGCTGTAAAACTGCATTTGGAAGCATATTTTGCTCAATGCTAGTTGCTTCCTCTTAACTCATTACTGTTGTTTTTCTTCCATCTCAAATGGCATTGTGCACATGGGTTCCCCATATCAAACCCTTTTTTAGACACTGATTAAAGTATTAAAAACATTCTGGTGTTAGACTGTTATTTGGACAGATATTCGTAGACAGATTTTACTATAAATATCAGCATACATGGTATAAATTAGACTACTATGTTGTTGGACTTTTATGTCAGCCTTAATATCTGCAATTCATTGCAGACTGAAATGCCTCTCTCCCAAAAACAAACAACAAAGTGAAATGCTGTAGTATCTTCTCCTTGGTATTCACAGCATCTCCACCCTAAAAACCCTGTACAAAGGCTTTTAAAATAGTTACTCAGACAAAAGTATGAAGGTATTGTGTTGAAGAAAGTTCTCAGTATGGACAGTAGTCTGTTCACTCTATACAAGATCTAATGACTTCATGCAAATTTGAAAGTCAAACCATCATTCACTGTGAATAATTGACTCAACAACACAGCTGTTCTGAGCTAAGCAAGATTTTACAATCTACCGTAAGCCTAAACAAAGAAATTAGGGAGTATTGAAGGACGGTTACAAAGAGAACACTGAAGGAGTGCAAGGGTCAGTATCATAAAAGTGTAGCACTATACTGGAGACATGAAAAATAACATATGATAACTTACAATGAGGATAAGGAGAGAATTAAAAGGGAATTTTAGAAACCAAATAGCACCAAACTAAGCGTGGTGTGGTGTGTAGGGCTGGGCCATGGCCTCGAGATATGTTTGTGCAGATCCCTTCAGCAGGTTTTGGGATGAATAAATCATCACTACATGACTTTGGCTGCAAGGTATCAAAGGCTGTTCATAGGTCCAAAAACAATTAGCTCAATATAAGCATTCTGGGGGCAGCAGTTGTAGTCTTATCACCTGTAACATTAATGTGACCTGTTGAAATTCCCTCAGGAGACACTGGAATCCAACCAGCATGCCAGCTTTGATGGTTTTTCTTCTATAGAAGAGCAGCAGCTACATGCCACAACTAAGATAAAAAGAACTACAGAGACACTGCCAATTAGTAAACTGGTTAAATGGGAGGAGGTCATTATGCATAGGAACCTTGTAGAGCAAGTTACTTAACATTTCAAGTATACCTCGAGGTCACTCTGTGCAAAGAAACCTGTAAGACACCTTGCTGCTATTGACTTTAATTATCCATATTTCAGGGCCTTTAGTTGTAGGGCATGAACATCTGTGGTGTTTCTAAAAAAAGTTGTTAGACAGTCAATTATATTTATTGAGAGATAATCGTCCAAACACATTTTCAAATGTTTCTTTAACCAGCATCCCTACCGGTGATTGACAAAGATGCTCTTTGCAGTTATTATTCCCACAACAAACACAATATTTCATAATCTCCATGTCTCTGTGTTCCTTCAGGTTAGGAATATCACATGACATGGACTTTGTATTTCCCCAGAGTTTCCTTTGATCTAGGGATGCACCAATGCATCAATCGCAAAACCAATTCCAGGGCTTTATTAAAACAATGGTATCCAATACTATATCGGCCCTTTGGGACAAATACCCAATCCAGCTATTTGAGTCAGTATCGGACCGATATCCAGTATCAATAAATCTCTACTTTGATCCCTGAGTGTAGCACAGACTTCAGTGTGTTCCTATTCCGCTCTTCCTCTCGCTCTCTTCTCTCCCCGTCTATCTCTAGACTTAGCCCTCACTGAGGTCATTTGTAGCTCAAGAAACAGATCAATAATGAGTTCAAATTTACTGGCAAAGTGCTTACCTTGTATCCTCGGTGCCTGGGACTTGCATCTGCCTACTGCAGAGTCATGTTTCACATGTCCATGATGCTCAGGGGGCTCCTGAGAAACACATTATCAGTCAAGATAAATGCTCAATCATTACAGATGCAGGTTGAAAACACAAAAACATAAAGAGTAGCAATATAAAGTGGGTGTTCATGCTTCTTGGTGAGTAAGTATTTGTGCCTTTGTGTACAATGTTTGTATACTGTGCCATAATCATATGGCAAACAAATATAATTCCAAGTGGCATTTGACATATGGGTGTTGCTGGAAGAAGTTAATTCGGCTAATACACGTGCTAACGTGGTCTAAATAGAAACTTGTCGAGCTTTAATAGCAAACCGATGACGAGTAGAGAAAACAGCCTGTCTTGTGATACATAAGATAACAGGCTAACAACTATTTCAACAGACAGACTTGTTTTGTCTATATTGGACTGAAACCCTAAAGCTTGCTACAAACTGAATCAAGAAATAGTTTAAAAGTCCTTTTTACCCGAGGTCACCTCACCAAACTCGCAGAATGTGCACAAAAACAGAGAGAAGTCAAGGACAGCTTACCGTGTCGAGGGGATTTCATTTTTATCTGGAAACAACGAACCAAATGAACTTCCAAAATGAGGCTTTTCTCAACACGGCACCGTTAACGTACCAAGTTGCATCAACGACTCGTTTTCTCCCTCAGCCTGTTGACAACTGACTAGCTGACTGGACTCAGTTCCTTAAAGGAAACACGCACGCAGCAGTCTATCAAGGCCAGAGTAATCGAGACCGAGCGGTGGGATAACTGGCTCGCTGTGCGGGTCAGTTGCCAATCGATTGGTCGACAGAGCGTCTTTCCAGGCCTAGAGCAGATGAGGCAGATGTGAGAAGGTAAAAAACTGTGTGAAATGTAAACAAGCTATTAAAATGTTGCACAGTGCTTTCTGGCTTATCAATGCAGGAAACAAGAACAATACAAAACGGTTAAGCAATTATAAAATTTAGAGGATCTCATAATTAAACGAGATTGCTGGCCCTTGTTAAATGAATAGTTTTTTTCTAAGTCTATAGCCTATAGGCAAATCGATTAATTAATTAAAAACCCTCACAATAAAAACATTGTTGAGACAAATGTATTTCTGCCGTTTAAACGTTTAAGTTCCTCTTTAAGTCCAGCCCTGTGATTTAAATGGGCGTACATGCTGATGCAGTGTTGCCACCCAGTGTTAGTGAATTGCAACTGTTCTCATTAAATTGAGGCTAATGTAAAGCTTGTTTTGTGGGGTTTAACGTGTGTCTAATCTGCTTAGTCTGTGCCTTCTGGTGTCACTTTTCAGTTTTGAAGAAAAACAACTTTTAAATGTCCACAGTCAACAGCTTTTATTTTAAGCATCAGTGGTGACTGCTGTTCAGCTGCCACTATATACCAGGAAGTATAATAAAATATGTTGTGTCCTTATGGGTTATTGTACCTGTCACATAACCCAGGTTTAGTCGATGTACAGTGAGTGGGTCAGTTAACTGCACCATAAAAGTCACATAACTCTTTCACATGTCAGTTAAATTATATTATGGGATCAGTTTCATACATTTGATTAATTTGAGTACACAACAATGATTAAAACATCCACTCAGTTTGACTTTTACACACACTTACCAGAGACACAATTTTCTCCTAAACATTTCAGGACTATGATGAACTTCACATGCAATACATTTAATGTATTAATTCATGTGTGACTCCTGTCACACAACAGTTTGATGGAGAAGGCAAGGTCCACTGTATAAGCCAACAGTGTAATACTGGCAACCACTGTTTCCATGATGACCAGTTCTGCACTTTTGTTGGGGATTCTTTCTCCGAGGTCTCTCAGATGCAGTATCTTCATAAAAGAAATCACTGTGGCCACCATGAAGAGCAACACCCCAATCAGACTGAAGCCAGCCAATAACTTGTCAAAAGGTAGAAAACATCGCCCAGCAAAGTCTCCTAATATTACCACAAGTGTGACTAGAGACATGAGGACACAGACACCGTATGACACGCCGGAGACCCACAGCTGCCAACTGTGTGTAAAAGTAGGGAGTCCACAGATCTCCACAACCAGGGGTATCATATGACAACCTCCCCAGACTTGGAGTATCTTCAGGAGACCAGGCATGCTGCCCATGTAGCCTCTTTGTTCTTGGGCTTGGGTGCGAAGAACGTAGGACTCTGAGGTGTAGCCAAGGAAGGTGATGCAGGAGGCCACAACAGCCGCCACCAGGCGCGGCGTTGCCCGTTGATGATCCATGACGATCCAAGGGAAAACCACAGAGGCACTAAGACACATCAGTGCCCCTAAAACTGCCGCTGTCATAGTCAGGTTCTTCCAGGATATTGGGATAAGGCTGTGAAACTGGATGATGCTGAGAATGTGGATAAGGAGTGTAAGTGTGAAGAAGAAGCACCAGGAAAACATGCAGAAAATCCTCAATGTGTGGAGGTGTTGGTGGTTGGATGAATTTTTGTTTAACTCTGAAGGTTCCAGCGAGGCCACAAGGCTGAAGGTGGTGCAACCGGATAAGACTTCCCATGTCCGCACCAAGAAAAGAGGACTTGTGAAGTCTTTGGCCTCCAATACAATCACAGGCATTCTCACAATGTTGAATCTGAATGATCTCGTATCCAAGAGACAAAATATCCAAGAGGCGTGTCAAATGATACTTCAGTCTCAGTTCCACCAGATTGATTTAATAAAAAAAAAAAAAAGTGTTGTAATGTACAAGCTTCGTCAATCAGCTAATTGCATTCCCAAAATATCGGCCTGATGTTGAGTTCTGAAGAGTAGTCCAGTACAGTCAATGGAAACAGTCACCTCCAACAAATCTTCACTTGAGCCGCAGGTATCATACAAAAAACAACCTTCTTTCTGCTCTGTTCACCAGTGCTTCATCCTTTTCACATATGTAAAACATTATCTCTTGGAACACTGTCTCTGTAAAAATATGCCTCGCCTACTTCCTTTTTGAGGTTGCAGCAGTGCTTTCAGTCTCACTGGAGGTAGGTGCAAATGACCACAATAAAAAAAACATGCAAACAAGGTTACCTTCCTCCCACTCTTGATTCTCATGCAATGCAGTTCCCTTTTTTTGAGATAATAAACTACTGCGTGTACAGGTTCTCCTGACTCAATTGTCATTAATTTGCCACCACTTTGACCTCACTGTTGGAGGCATGAAATATGGCCACAGGTAGTTCTCTGAATAATTGTTTGCACGATGTTTGTAGCTGCCTGTGGGGCACTTGTATTAAGTCAAGATGAGTTTATTTGTTCAGTGCTGTGGATCATTTGAGCGAAGTGTTGCTCAGAGGATCTGGTAGTGTGTGTGGATCTGCCCTCAGGGGAGAAGAAGCTAATATTGTGACAAGCATCTTGTCTGTCTTTTAATTTCACAACACCTATAAATATGTTTGAGTTGCTTGGATTGAAATGAGTGTTTGGATGTCTGTGAGGGTGGCAGCAAGCTGCAAATGTTTTAGTGTATGAATGTATGCATGCATTAATGGGAGTACCTTTGTCTTGAATAGGCTACATATGGGCATACATGTGTGCACCTATGCTGTAAAAATGTTTCATATCGACCAATGTATTTGTGTATGTTTTCATGTTTGCATATGTTACTCGTGTGTGTGAGTGTATTTAATCAAGCACAAAGAGTCCTCTGATGATCCCAACCAATCACTTTGCCTCTGTGTATCGGCACACCTGCACTCTGTGTTATAAATAGATGGAGGATACATCAATTCCCTCGTGTCACACAGCTCAAGTTCAGAAACTTGTGTTTAGACAGAATGGAGAAGAAACTCCACAAAGACAGATGATAGCTGATGAACAGTGCTGACCACAGAATCCTGTATGTATTTGTCTTCATTTGTCAACTGCTTTCTAAAAGTTAAGATGTCACTTCATCAGTTTATGATTCAGGCTCAGTTGTGCAGTTTATTTTAAAAAAATCACATTTGAATATAACTAGTTTATTTTTATGCATTCCTTTGGACAGAAATGTATTTTACTCTACCAAAAATGTTAAATAAAAAATCCACCAAATGTTTAACAACATTGTGGTAACAGATTCCTCATGATGGCTAGAAGGCATCTCTCTGAGCTATAGAGCATTTAAGATTTGTTCTGTTGGTTATATAATTCTTTAAAGAGAAACACAGGAGGTTTCTGATATTTATGATAAGCTTGAAGATGTGACGGAACAAGCTGTTGTAAATATTGCACATTTCTAGTAGTTTCTGCATGGAACTAGTGCCCCTCTGTGGTAGAGTAGAGATTGGAGGCTGCCTGTAGTACTGAATGAGCAGCAGCAGAGGGTGAACATCTTCATCTTATCAACAAAGATGCAGTGGGAGGAAACCCTGTCTGTACTAAGCGTACCTCATGCAGAAAACAATGTAGCTGCACCTTCCAATCCTGACAAAAATCCTCATCATAATGAAGAAGAATATGCATACTTAGTGTGTGTGTAAGTTATTATCAGTAGTGGAAAGTCACTAAGTACATTAACTCAAGTACTGTACCTAAGTATTATTCTGAGGTACTTTATCTTTACTTGAGTATTTCCATTGTATGCTACTTACTTATACCTCTACTCCACTACAGTTCAGAGGGGAATATTGTAATCTTTACTTTCCTACATTTATTTGATAAGTATACGTTTCAGATACAGATTATTAGTACAATATGTAATCAAAGAATTAATTCTGATGTGTTATTATAGGTTAAGATAAGGCTTTATTGATTACCAGGGAGAAATTCACAAGCCACCCAGCCGTATATAAATAAATTAAATTTAGCTCCACCTTTGTAAGCTGTAATATTAAATAAATGAACACATTAATGCATCACTTATTATAATACACAAATATAATATATATTATACTTTTGTTCTTTTACTTAAGTAACATTTTGAATGCAGGACTTTTACCTCTAATTTGCAGTACTTCTACACTGTGGTATTGCTACTTTTCCTATTATCTAAATTATCTGATGATTATTATAAATTATCTGAGTACTTCTTCCACCACTGGTAATAGATATCATTGCTGACTGTTGACAATCACATCCTTTTAAATAAACTAAAAGGGTTTTAAAAGAGCTACAACATGTGATTATGGGGTTTTCAATCATACTTAGTTGTTCTCTGCATCATAATGTGTTCGAATTTGTATTTAAAATGTCATACTACTACAAATAGTAATACAAATTAGAAATTATTCAGTTATATAGCACCCTCCAAAAACAAGCCAACAGATGCAGAGAGACAAAAAACACAAACAATTAAGATTAAAATCAGAAGAAATGTAATCGAAAAAAACAACAATTTGCAGTAATTTTATTTTTCAAGGCTGCTGTTTAGTTTTTAAACCTGTCATTGCCGAGATGTTCAAAGTCTAATAATAATTGAGTGTAATATTATAAGTTTGTGGGTTGTGTGTTGAGTGCTACTTCACCCCCTAAAAATCCACTTGAGAAGTATAGGCTTTCTCATATCAGTAAATTAGTGCAGCCACACGAGACAAAGTGTGAAACACTTGGGCAAAAAAACATGGGCAAAAAAAAAGGACCAAACGTGTGACATTTGTGTTCATGTTGTACAGTATGGCTGCTATGATTGAGTTCTGTACATTTATTAAAAGGAGGAATTGTCTTCTAAGTAAGGCTATAGCGATTTGATTAATCCTACAAAAAGCAGTCGACAAATCTTTTAAAACAAGAATTTGTGATCATTTCACACATCAGCCAACATATACTTTCAGAGATTGCTTTGTTGTGTTTTAAGGTGGGATGCATCTGCAAACGTGCAGCACTGACAGAGAAAACAGTGTTGTGTGACACAGGAAGTGTTGTATGCATCTCTCGAGATGACTGTCACTGTTTTAAAGTTACAACTTAGATTTTCACTCTAAATGCTAAATGCAATACTTTGTGACATTTATTCAACCACCATGTAGTGAACTGCTCTTGGAATTTTAAATGTTCAAAGGTTCTCTTTAAAATACTCAGAGCATTAATATAGCAGCAAACAACTGTTATCTCTGTAAAGATAAAGTGGAGTAATGGCTACCTGAGCAGAGAATGAAGTCACTCTCTCTCTGTGTGTGTTGTAATCCGAGCATAGCATCCACCCTCCTGTTAGCTCTGTTAGCACTCTTGCCGTTGGTTGCACCTTTAGCACTGTTGCAACCGTCGCCGTGTTAAAAGCCATGTGGAAGCAATAAATATGCTCTGAATTTCGAATGTAGCACCTTTAATTGTTTTACACTGAATCAGTGGATAGGATGAACAGAAACGGACTGCTCGAAGGAAAACATATTCACCACACAATCAGCACTGGTGGAGCACTTTTTTTT